ACAAGAGAAAATTTCTTTTGAAAAGACTTTGCAGAAACACACGGTATCCTAGTGACATTGACTCTTAATGGTTGTTTGTGTTTGATTTATAAAAGTAAAATCAGATCGATCCTGTGCGGTAGCTATTTTACCCTAACCCATTTCTCTAACCCTTTCCCAAGTCCCAGCAAACCTTCGGCCTTTAGGGCCACAACTATTTAATGTTAGGAATCAGTTGACATTTATCATTTGACATTATGCCTCGGAAGTGTAAAGATTGTCCCATCTGCGGCAAGCGAGCTTTAAAAAGATTGGCAAACCATTTGGCAGACGTCCATGAACTTTCGTCCCAAGAAAGACAACCTTATCTTATTCGTGCTAAGCCAACAGCTTTAAACTTAGAAAACGTTTTAACAGAATTGTACAGATTAATTGGGAACAATAAAAAGCAGTCAAAGTGGAATAAAAGCAGGATAAAAAATATACCCATTCTTCAACCAAAATCCTCCAGGAAAAGAACAAAATCAAGTACAAAATCTGCAAAGAATGTGGACAATACAGAAATGAATGATGGCTCAATGGATTGGTTAAAGTTAGAAACAAAAGCGAAACACAACTCTTAAGTGGATAATATTATATTTATACAGACAAGAATTATTAACTTTGTAGTACTTAAACAAATAAATGTGTCTTAAATCGAAATTCTTGTGTAAATTTTTGCCCACCTGCGTTATAAATAATCCCTATCTATCCATTGGGATACACTTAGTCATGCAAATTCGTATTGCCGTAATTACCTACACCTCCTAATGACTTAGCAACACATAACAACGTATATAACGAGTACATGTTTTTATCGCAAAATATATTACAACTGTTCCAATTCTAACTTATATTCTTCATAAGCTTACTTATGATCTGACTCGGTCATCTTAACAGTATACATGTATGCAGAAGACTTGCTAAATAACGTTGAACAACATGCAAATATTGACCTTAACAACGACGCTGGCAACCCGGGATTAGCAACTGTTTAGTTCTGTTTAAAATATGTCTTGGTTTTTGTAACGAATAGATTCCTCGCTATGGAACATACGAAAAATCCTTCAATATACTCGTGGAAATTTATCGCTTCCAAGCAAAGATACGGCTATAACTCTGCTATATATTAATAATATTGACCTTAACAACGACGTTGACAACCTGGGATAAGCAACTGTTTAGTTCTGTTTAAAATATGTCTTGATTTTTCTATGGAACATACGAAAAATCCTTTAATATACTCGTGGAAATTTATCGCTTCCGAGCAAAGATACGACTATAACTGTGTTATATATTAATTTCGATCACAATTCTGCCTTGTGAGGGACTCGAGCTATTCATAGCAAACCAAGATTAAAAATGCGTAGTCAGCAAGTTTCACACGTCCTTGTTTAAACCTGCCCGCGTGACGTCATTGCATATAATTATGACGTACGTTAATGAGTGACGTCATTACTCCTCCTCACTCCTCCACGTCACTCCACCTCACTCATTCTCACTCCTCCTCACTCCTCCTCAAAAATAAGGCCCGAACGGCCTCTATATTACTACTTCTATTATTTTTACCGATATAGTTGACAGAAAAGGACATACCTGGGTCAAAATTGGCAAGGATATTGAAAAAGCTACCAAAAATAACTTAAAATTTCGGCTGAAGTGTAGAGATTTAAAAATTAAATCTTCAGAAACGAAAGCGGAGCTGTTTCCAAATACTAGGGTTCTGTACTTCTGTATAAACTTTTAGATAATTTTAAAACCTATAAAGTTTGCTTCAGAACAGCTTTAATATATAGTTGGGATATGCAATTCATTTCCAAGCAATGTACATTTTCAAAATATCGAAAATCATTCTAAGTTATCATGTTATAGAGTAAGACAAAACCTTGATAGAAAATTAAAGATTGTTGACCCAGACCCGAAAAGTGTTATACACGATTTAATTGATTTAAAGCAACTTGTTATGTATGTTCACTTCAACTAGGCTATATCGATAAAAACAATAGACTTATGTCTAACTTCACTTATGTACCTCTTTAAACGATCACTAAGCCTGTGTATTGCTGTCTACAGCTTGATTGGGGCCAATTTTGACCCAGGTATGTCCTTTTCTGTCAACTATATCGGTAAAAATAATAGACTTATCAGTCTTACGAGTCATTGTGTACAAGAAGTACTCAGAGTCTAACTTCACTTATGTACCTCTTTGCACGATCACTAAGCCTGCGTATTGCTGTCTACAGCTTCATTGGGGCCATTCTGATGATCAGACTGATGAATTTGAGAAACAAAAAGAAAAATTATACTTTTTAGCAACGAAATATGTAAACAAACCGAGCGAACAATTTGCTAAATGTTGACAGTAAAATAATGACACAATCTAATATAAAAACAGATAAAATTTAAACTACGACGAATATGAAAACTCATTTGGCCTACTGTATATATAGAAAAATTCACTTCAAACTTACCATAATACTGGCTTTTTTGGCTTTAAAAAAAAATTCAAAACAAGTAAACAACTCTGAGCTTTCGGGATTTCCTCCGCAAACTACGTCACAAGCCTGCTGACGTCAACCTTTTTATAAAGGTCTATTTAGCTACATTATCAAGCAATTATCTTTTCCTATGCAACTTGAAAGATATAGCTTGCCACATTTCTTCTAATGAATTTTAAGGCCTGATTCGACGGGCGCTTTCTTCGGCAAAATGCGAAATATTTCGCGCGAAATGAATTACAATGTAGGTAAGGTACATGCGCAGTAAAGATAAATTAGGTTTCGCGAGAAAACATTTCGCTTCACCAGTGAGCAGAAGTGAGTTCTACTCACTGTGAAAGCGGAAAAAGTGGAAAAATTCAGTGGAATCGCTCGTATTTCGCAGACACAACCACCCGTATTTCGCAGACACAATTTCTCGCGACGAATTTCGTGGAATCAGGCCTTTAGAACGTTTTAAACAGTAGATAATAGAGACCTTACGATTTAGGACAGCACTGAACGCGACGGCAACGGCTTCCAATACAATAAATCATTGAAAAGAGTTGAATAATTACAATATATGAATAATTTAGGTGTTGTCCTCGCTCTGTTTACAACGCTAAATCACAGATTTTCACGTCTTGATACAACGGCTGCATTTCAAGCCGCAACAAGTGCAACTTCAAACTGGGTTCAGCAGAACCATAGGAGCAGAACTCTTCCCAAACATAAAACCCATGTCTTAAATTCATACATGTCGAAGACTGTATTAAATTCGTACGATTGATAATATACGACGTATTATCTTTACCATTTATTTGAAGGAGTTTGTTTTGGCCGTCGTCGCCGCGTTGCCGTCCTAAAATCGTAAGGTCTCTAATGAGACTTGAGACAGCCATCTTGGTGTGACCTCATTAGTATTCACGGGCAAATTTAAGGGGGAGAGAGGCCACTGTTGATATATTTCTTATTTTTTCCCACCGATAACTAGCCTGCGTGCAGGCCCAAGGGAACTTGATAGTGGGCCTGCAACCATCGCCCGGTATTTTGAAATACGCTCCTTTTCATAACACGCCCCATTCGCGCGTCAATTGTCAAAAAAGAACCAATGACAGCACCCAAATATTAACAAACAAACTCGCATTAAAATGTTGCGGGGTTTTCTCTGCTTATTCAGAACACTAATAAACAATGTGTAAATGGCTGCGTTTTAACTCCAAAAAAGCAAGCAACGCAGTCAGTAATTGCCAAATTTGCAAGTGCTCATTTTCAACTAAAATCGGAACAGGCAAATTAGGACGAATTTCAACAGAAAACCAGTCTCAAACTTCAAATCATGAGGGAAGTCGGGCGACCACATTAGGATTTATATTATGTGTGCTTCGCTGTCGCCATTGGCATTGTTATAAATAAATTGTCTCACTTATCAGATCGTGTGTGCAATTCTTGTTGGCGGCGGAAAGTACGAAATTTATTTCATTTGGTAAAGAACTCTACAAAAGAAGAGAGCGTTCCGAGTCCAGATCGTTTCGTTTCAAACGGCAATTTAATACCGCCTTCTGTTTCGCTCTCTCTGCGAAGCCTTGTAAATCGCAAGTGTTTCGAATAGGCTTACAGTTCTTACATGCAACTGCATCTCAACATCAACCAAAAGATAATTTTCTTGAGGAAGTGAGAACACATAACGTATCAACTGAAGTCTGTTTGAAATTAATGAAACTCAAGTAAAGGTTACTATAGTTTACCCCAGTCGTAATGTTGCTATTCCAACACCTCACGACAAGCAATCCCCATTGGCATAACGGCAAAAACATGTCTTCCTTCAAGTAAACAACAAACAGTCTGCTCTTGTTCCATTTGTAATCGAAAAAAGTGATCAATTTTCAAATTTTAAGCTTATCGAGAGCCTTTGTCTATGCCTTTGTGATGAATCACTGTTCCCTTGTGCCTGCACAATGGGCTAGGTTAATTAATTACCGATCGCCTCAGCTAGCCAATGGGAAATCAAGTTCCCATGGGCCTGCACGCAGGCTAACCGATAACTAGAAACTGTGACAATCTCTTCCACTATGTCAGCAACACCACAGCAGATTTGTGCTGGTCACAAAAAATATGGCCACCGTTGGCTTCAATTATGAATAGCGGATGCAATAATCAACTCCTACCATAAATCGACCTGCCGTAGATGTTATTTACCGTGATTCCTTCAACCAAGCCTGGAAATGAGGGCCCACCAAAAACCTAATTCTCCAATAAGCCCGTCTTTTGGGTCGCCCCATGCCTATTTTAACAGGCTTTGTGATTGATTGATTGATTGATTGATTACGATGATAACAGACAATAAATTATAGAAATCATATTTCTAATGAACGAGCCAAAAATACTGATCACTTTTGCTTCAGAAAACTTTTACATAGTATGCAGGTATCTTCCTGCCAGTCTTTTAAAATAGCGTAGCACCTTCGGCCTTCACAACATATTCATTTATTTCTTGTATCATAGAAAAGAACACATGGCCAAAATGGACATGTTCAGCTCAAGCCCGTGCCAGATGGTTCCTTGCCCTTACCTTGGCCCGCAACCCACAACTAGCGTCCGACCGTAAACCTGACGTTCGGGCCCCGGAACCTGTTCAAACTGATCACGTGAAACATGGCGACGTCAAGATTGAAGTTGGCCAATACAGCTCGGATAATGCTGGATTAATACAAGATAAGTAAATGCTTTACAACTAGGAAAGCTACGGATTGATTAAACTTGCTCCAAATCTCTCTTTCATTGTCATATCGATCCACTATAGTGTGCATTACATGACGTAGCACGGAGAAGTGGAGCGAGAAAGAGAGACTTGTCAACTTCGGAAAATCTCGGTTAAAACTGAACCGAAAATGCAAGACTTACTTTAATTGTTTTCCCTCAATTTCTTTCTGTATTATTTACTATAATGGAACTCATGTTATTTACACTGTGCTAGATCAATACATATAAACACTGACAGAAAACAATTAAAGCAAGCATTTTCGGTTCAGTTTTGAACCGAGATTTTCCGAAGTTGACAAGTCTCTCTTTCTCGCTCCCCCTCTCCGTACTACGTCATGTAATGTACATTATAGTGGATCGATACTATATGGCAATGAAAGACAGACTTGGAGCAAGTCTACGGATTGATAGGGATGCAGTTAACTACCTGAAAAATACAAGGAGAACTTCGACGTTTCGAGCGAAGGCGCTTCGTTGGGAAGTTAGAAGTTTGGCTACTTACTTCCCAACGAAGTGCCTTCGCTCGAAACATCGACATTTTTGTATTGTTCAGGTACTTGCATCCCTATTCCCTATCAATGGACATATTCCCTAATAAACAAAATTTTGATCTGGACAAGTCTAGACAAAAATTTCACCACAGCTTGAAAGAGCATCACAAAATTAGTAATATTCCGATGTTTCGTTGCGAAATCGGTTGTAAAATGCGGATAATATAGCCCTGCGCAAAGTTTGCCGTTTTTCAGTCATTTTGTATTACGCTTGGGAAATTGATACCTTTTTTCAGAAAGCGGCTATCAATTTCCCGTGCGTAATACAAAATGACAAACGCACACTACATACACTGGCAGAGACCGTTCTAAAAGCGTTAATAATTCATGAAGGAAATTCAAAAGAATTGCATATTAATTATGTATTTAGAACTAAGAGCCGGGAAGATCACAGCTGGTTTTCGTCAACTTTTCGAAACAGCTGTAGCTTAACACCAGACAATGTAATCAATAACAAGGCTTGATGCCCGCGAGAATGCTGGTCTTAGTAGTCATCGCCCGGGAAAATTAAACAATTCAAAATGGCCACTATCGAAATTTTCGCGGGCGATGACTACCAAGACCAGCATTCCTCGCGGGCATCAAGCCTTGTGACGTCATTATACATAAGGTCTATTGTTAAAACTAGAGCACACTCGGAGGCGGTATACCTCCGCCAGCGAATTAAGTGGGCTGATTACGCATTAACTCTACTCTGCCAAGACGAACTTTCCGACCAAACTATCCTTATAAAACAGCTATGAAACCTGAAACTTTTTATTTTTTGGCCTAAGTATAGTTTTTATTGAAAAGTTACATATTCTTCTTCTGACACTACAAAGTACAACGAAAGGTTCGTTTATCACTAGCGGGATTCGTTGTACTCTACAGTGTCGGAGTAAATATGAAAACATAGTTTTTCATATCTCTGAGGATGGTTCTGAAATAGTTTTTGTTGCCTGGTGTCACAGGATTCCCCCCCTCGCCCCCTCTCAATTTTAACAAAAACTGCCACGGTGATATCGATTACTTTTTAACAATTAGTTTAAAGATTAACAAAAAATGCATGGATGTGTTTTGATGTCATAATTTTGAATTAAAGCTCATAGTAACTGATTTCAAATGAGTCATGTAATAATTATCCCATGCAACCGTTTGGAAATCGAAATTTTTACGGATCTCTTAAAGGGGGGCCAATCTCCTAGGAATTGGGGGGGGGCGAAATTCCTGGGGCACCCGCCAGCAGATTCGGAATGTGTCTATTACCAGTTACGTATTTACACTCTATTACCAGTTATGTTTTACAAGTTAAATGATCAGATTATGTATTTACAAGTTAAATGAACGAGAGAATTACATTTGCATTGTACAAACGATAAACATATACAGAAATTTAGATGATACTCGGCAAATAGAGAACTGCACAAAATGCACCAATATAGAACTGCACAAAACTATTATAATTATTAACATATTATTAAAAAGATAGTAGGCTATGTAGTTACTAAATTTGCAAGACGATCACATTATTACAAAATGTATATATGGAGGTTGCACTTCGTGCCACTTTCTACATTTTTTTTGTAAAAGGAATAAAAACTGGACTTGCCCTGAACATGTCAAAATATATATATTAAGCTAGGCCTACCACATAATGCGTAGACAGTGCAGATATCAGACCTGTTTTACTCAAAGCCTTGTTTTCCAATAAACTTCAAATAATGTTGCACTTGCACACGTGAAAGCGAGGCTCTATAGCCAAACGTTACAGGGTTACCACTGAGTAATTTTAAAAAATACAAAACAATGGACACTCCGAAAACAGTTAACATTTCTAATACGACGTTTCGACTAGCTTGCAGTCATCATCAGGAATGACGCTACGGAAAAATATACATGTTATATATACAAGATCGAATGACATGATATGCTATATGCCTATATATATTAGGAACATGTATATATAACATGTGTATTTTTCCCTATAGCGTCATTCCTGATGATGACTATAGGCAAAGTGATGTACTTTCCGGAAGGATGTATTGTATTAAATTGCCGAAGTTATTTGAGGTTGGCCGATTTTGGATTACTTTTTGCCCCACGTGTATATGTTTGATATTGTTAAACCCTATCGTTTTACTGTTTTATGTTTATAACTAGTGCGCCCACTTTTTTTGTGCGCGTGCTCGGCAAGTTACTAGATGGACGAATCCTATTGGATGAAATTGGATGACGACTCGCTTTAACTGCTCGCAGAACTTGCCGAGCACGCGCAGTTGAGGTACATGAAGACGTAAGCTTCCGCAGTGTCTGTGGCAGCTACAGCTCTGTATGTACTGTATCTAGCTCCTCTGTGCTTTGTTGTTTATGTTGTGAATCATCGTTCGAATAGCGTGCGTGGCAGGCCCTCAATTTTATGGGGGGCCTGATTTGCAACGGGCAGGATTTTTTGGCGGGCTTAGGGGAGGATTGGAGCAAATCAATCCTGAAAAAAAAAAAAAACCCTGCCCGTTGCAAATCAGGGCCCCCATACAACTGAGGGCCTACCACGTAGGCTATCGTTCGAGAG